ACTTATTCTTCCTCGTAGATCTCGCACACAAGCGGCTAGTCACCCATTTCAAGTGACTATCGCCAAATGTCGCATTTCTAACTTTCAATCATCTTTTTTCCCAAGAACTGCACAACTGTGGGACACTCCCCCTTTCGGTCTTCCCTCTAACGTGCAACATCATCTTTTTAAACGCAGAATCAACAAGCTGGTTCTAGCTTGAATTTTCCCCTTACCTTACCACTTACAGTACATCTTCGGATCATGGAGTTTACCTCTTTTACTTTATTCACCTTCGTTTAATAAAAAAAAACAGACAATATTCCTATAATCTGACTCCTCTCAAGACGCTCAAAATATCCGATGCAAGCTAGAAATACTTCTCCCGGTTTGGAATAACCTCTCGATCGAAGTATACTCTTCAAGATTGGCAAGAGACTGCTCTCGCAGTGACATCGATGAGTAACCAGTTAGAAATTGTTGATCACTTTGCTCACATCTAATTGTTTCAGCTCATTTGTGGCGCAAATGTGAGATCTTCTTTAAGGTTCGATTTTACCATGTCACCATACGGTCTTACACTGTGATTGCGAGAGTTGGCATATTCTAGTTAAGAACAAAAATAAGCAAACCGTCCTTTACACCGTTGCCTTTGTTGTGTCGCCAGTTCACGATCAGCGAATTACGAACAACGAGATTCCTCGAACAATCTTCGTCTCAGTTAGTCTTAACCGGCCTTGGAATGCCACTATCTTGCCCCAAAGGCGTCGACGTCTTGGACACGTGCTGCGCACTTGGGTCCCAAGACCGACCTGTTTTGCAGCATTTACAAAAGCCGGCAATAAGGTGGACAGCATATAATAGAGGCACGAAGAATGGAAGCATAAACGTCAAAACTAGTAACTACAGGACGTTCTTGGATTCCATTCGGTCAACCAAAAGATGGCAAACGCCTATATTCCGCAAAGTGAGGACTCGTCAGGTAGCTTGCAGCTCTGCTTCTTGTGAACTTACGTTCTGTCCACATCAAACTGATATAGTCATTCTATCAAAAAGTTTCTTTTGCGAATGGGTTGGCCATGTTTTTCTCACTAATTGTCCCATCACGATTCCCATTTACTGCAGTTAGGTGAACTTATCGGCCTCGCCACTTATGTAAAAGGGCTTTTGCGTTCCAACGACTGTAACAAACAAATGAGCGTTCATGACTAGCCGCGTCATTCCCGAATACATTTACTGGCAAGTGATTTCAATAATATTGTTTGAAACAGTTGAATGGCTTACAGTGTTCAGGAATACTTAATTAAGTACATCGTCTGATAGCAGGAGGGTCTGCGAGCTATCTTCAGTCGGGGGGGGGGGAGTAGCATTTTTGTAACAACCCAATTATCATGTTAGTTTGAAGAGTGTTCACTATTGGGGAGGAGGAGGTCAGTGGGTACCGGAACAATGTCTGTGGAATGGGTTATTACTCTTTGTAAGACTTATTAAGGGGAGCACTATTTGTGTGAGATAATTCCCCAGAGTGTCCATCCAGAAAAAGTAAGTTGGTCGTGCGTTCGGCTAGCTACCATTCACCTTGTTTCTTAAATTCCAATAAAATCGTGAAATATGCGTTCACAATATTTCATAGAAAACAAAGAATAATCAGCTTTGCAATACCTTCGTCACTTTTCAATGATGATTATCCATTGACCCTGCATAAAGAATCCGCACCATTGTGCGGGGAACGGTAAAGGCCTTCACCCCCCTCAAATCAAACACCTACCGTTGATTTATCGTAAACGGTAATCTGTGTCCTGGGAAGAGGTAATGCACCACGAGGCCTCATTAGGTTAGGTGTGATATTGAGCCAATCACTGAGGAAACTGGTTACCGGTGGTCTTAGGAATTATCAGTGATGAGTAACACGTTTGTTTCACATGATGGATTAACACTTCATAATGGACATGATATGAAATACAAATGAAATCTGTTTTCTCCGAGGTCTTCGACTTAATCTGTTCCGTTTGCAGGTTCATTGATAGGATAAAAATGATAAAATTTCCTTAAAAGCTGGTCGGTTATTTGCAAAGATTAATCTCTCCCGAAAATCATTTGCGGCAAATCCTCCGATTCCTATCTTCCTGGATCTTGAAGCAGCTTTTGACTCAGTCGACCGATCTAAACTCTGACGCTACCTTTCTCTGAAAGGTGTGCCCGAAAAGTTTCTTTCAATATTACGGTCCGAGCTTACGGCGTTTTTTCGCCCAAGTTCACCACGGAAAGTGGTGTTCGACAAGAGTTACTCTCTCTCTCTCTCTCTCTCTCTCTCTCTCCCCTTTTCTATTTAACTTTGTTGTAGATCTGATTATGGAAACAGCCCTATCCTCGTGCGAGGGTAGTGGCATCAATTTACTCCTAGGTGGCAGGCTGTCTGATCTAGAGTACGCAGACGACATTGTGCTACTAAGTGAAGATCTAGGTAAGTTGCAAGCATTTCTGGATAACTTGAATGCCAGCGTAGCCATATTCGGTACGCGTTTTGCACCTTGAAAGTGTAAAATGCAAATACAAGACTGGGTTGGTCCAGCACCCAGCCTCACTCTAACTGGGGAAGTAATAGAGCAGGTAGATAGGTTTTGTTATTTGGGCAGCTACATCTCACCCGGTGGACGCATCACAGATGAAGTGTCAGCTCGCATAGAGAAGGCTCGGTTGGCATTTGCCAACTTGAGACATCTGTGGTGCCGTCGCGACATCCGGCTGTCTGTGAAGGGTCGAGTGTATGTCGCGACAGTTCGGCCAGTCCTGCTATACGGTGCAGAAACTTGGCCATTAAGAAAACAGGATAAAGACAGACTGTCGTTGTTTGAACACCGCTGTCTACGCACCGTTGCACGAACCTGGTGGAGTAGCCGGATGAGCAATGCTGAGGTTAGGCGCAGAGTTTTGGGTAATCGCGGTCGTCCACTGGCGCAAGTGGTCGACCTCCATAGATTAGGTTGGTTGGGACATGTGTTAAGCATGTCACCAAATAGGTTGCCACGGCGAGCGATGTTTGCCGAGGCAGGTAGTGGGTGAAATAAAGCCCAGGGTGATCAGGCCATGACCTTGCGTGAGGGTATGAAAACCTTAACCAGGAGTCTGGGTCACAGGTCACAGGCTCCCTGACTGGGGACCTCGGGACGGTCGTACCCGATGTTTAGAGACAGTGATATGACTGGGTGTCGTAAATAGTGTCGTTCATGCATCTTCTCTATTTCTCTGCAGGATTAGTCCACTGAACTTTTCAATTTTCTCTTCTATCCTACTTTCAACCTTTTCTGTCTTCTAATGCTCATCCAAATGGGCAACCAAAGGACAGCAACCAAAACCGGCGCACGATAGTGCATGGTTAATGGTTGTACAAACTGCACTAAACTGAACTGAACTCCGATTTCGTATTCCACTCCTTAGTTTCATTTTTTTCTTTTTCATTCAGTAACCGCCGGCATTTCCAAGGCACAACCAGCTTACGCAGGACTGAAGCACCTTTAGTGCACACGTGATGTTTTCTTGAGACTGAAAGGTCTTGTTTACTGCGCCAGTGTGCGGTCAGTTCTGCTTTAGAGTTGTGAGACTCTAAATTTGCGCATGGAAGTTATTCGTCGTCTAGAAGTCTTCGATTACCGATTTTTATGCAGTTTGGCACCAATTGGATGGGGCGAGCGTGTAAGCAACGCTGAGGTGAGGGCGTAATGGTTCGACGGTAAATTCATTGTCCCCTCAAATTCAGACTAGTCGGCTTCGTCGGTTAGGACACGTATTACACATGCCCAGCCATCGTCTACCGCACCGCGCCTTATTCGCCGCTCCAGGTTAGAAAAAACCAAGTGGAGGCCAACAGATGACCTGGAGACGAGGCATGAAGAAATGCACAGAGCGATCAGTTAAAATAGGTGTCTCCCGTCTTCCAGGTTCGGGTTCAAAAGACCTCCGCTGTTTGTTCAGAGACACTGAAGGATATGGCTACTGACCGACATTAGTGTCGTTCTTGTTATTTCTTATCAAGTCAGGATGCTTGAAACGGCATGTATGCACAGCTAGATTGTGTATTCTGTGTGTTGCCCATAGGGGTTCATTTTGCCTCCCTCCAATTAAACTCAGTCCCTCTCCATCTTGTACTTTACCTTGTGAACTTGGCAGCGTTCAGTGAAGTCCGCTTCACTGTATCTCGCTGTACGATGATGATGATGATGATGATGATGATGATCTTCATTCTATTGTTTACCATGAGTTTTAATCGTTGTTTTATGTGATTTCGTCTTTTGTTTCGTGTAATAGGTGGCTCCGCAACATATCTGTGATCCTTTTCCTCAACAAACAAGACCTGCTGACTGAAAAAGTTCTGGCGGGCAAGTCGAAGATTGAGGTATACTTTCCTCATTACGCCACTTACCAGGCACCAGCTGATAGTAAGTACCGATTGTGCACTACTTCACGGTTGTTTTTGACATTATTTTTTGTATTTCGCTTTGAATTCACTTCCAAATAATCTTTCTCAATCAGATGAGCAACTCTTGAAGATGGTAACATACGGATGCGTGATCACATGAACTGGTATGCGATTTGTGAGGGCACATGCTTTCTGAAGAGGGGTAGAGGGGGTGGGGGTGGGTGGGAGGTGAAACCTCTGCCACTTACAAAAACTCATGATAATAATAATATTATTAATAACCTGTCGCTTTCTATTGCTGGATAGGCGGCTACAAACGAAAAACACTAGGACCAATCAGACGGCTGCTGAGTAGCACACAGGAATGAAGAAATTATACGATAGTGTTTTCATTTGAGTTCGCACAACCGTTGCGGTTGTGTTTTCCTTTTTTTTGTTTCTAGCTATTATCGTTCAGATACACTTTTGGTCGACCAAGCGAAAAGCCGTTTTGCAGTACCAGAAACAGGATAATAGACTTTGATGCTGTTGGTTATCACTGCCTATTTCCTACCAAAGAGCTCATACTTTAAGGTAATGGATTTATAAATGGGCGTCAACCGACATATTGTTTTGTTGAATTACATAACATGGTTCAGCAGAAGTATTTCATATTTCACAAACATTTCCGTCCAGACTGTAGAAAAAATCAAGATACACTAATAGTGCCAGGTTGTCCAGTCCAAGGCAGGTGAATTTTATTACATGTGAGTAATGGAGGATTTGATTAAATTTCAAATGGGAATTTGTCGTTTATATAGTAAATGAAGCGAGGACTGAAGAGCTATGAAGCACAGCTGGACAGCTGTTTCGACCTGGTTGGGTCTCATCAGCAGTGCGAATCCATCGACCCAAATGGGGATCGAACGCGGGACGTCGCGGACAGAACGCAACCCACTTCGCCACCGGGCAGCTGATGAAACCCAACCAGGTCGAAACAGGTATCCAGTGCTTCTTAGCTTTTCAGTTCACGCTTCATTTACTATATAAACGACGAATTCCCATTTGAAATTTAATCAACTCCTGCATTACTCACATGAAGTAAGCAGTCAGTTTGTGAATGTTTCCAACCGAGTCATAACCCTGGAGGCTAGTGCTGAGATAAGCAGGCCCGCAACAAGCTCGCAAAGATGGGTTGTGCTATATCGTGTAAACGAAAAATGAAAAAGATCTGATCAGCTGCCCGATGGCGAAGTGGGTTGCGTTCTGTCCGCGACGTCCCGCGTTCGATCCCCATTTGGGTCGATGGATTCGCACTGCTGATGAGACCCAACCAGGTCGAAACAGCTGTCCAGCTGTGCTTCCTAGCTTTTCAGTCCTCCCTTCATTTACTATATACACGACGAATTCCAATCTGAATTTTATTAGTCAATTCTCAACCAGAGTCTTTGACTAGCCCAAGCCTGCTCCGCAAAGCAGCCGGGCTGTGTGTGAAAATCGCAATCCATTGAGGGCTGGTGTCCAGTTCATCAGATCATCCGCCCTTTGGACGGAATCAAACGTCCAAGGTGCTTAGTACGCTTCGACACCCTATTGAACCGGTGACCACTGCTACAACCAGGAATCTGTGTGTGTTTCGTACGCCTCTTGGTTGGTTTGGATTCAGGGTTTTAGCTAACTCCCCTAGGCGAATTATGAATGGTTCACCAACCCGGTTATAGCCCAAGATGTCGGCTTTTCGTCCTCTCACTTTGGTGCGAAAACACCTCCGCCCCACGAGAAGGCAGTGAGTAGGACTTCCCCAGCCGAGGCTATTTGAGACGCTTGGTTGTATGGGAGTATTTCGCGAGATGCAAGGGAAGAGTGACCAGCCGCAACCCTAGACACCCACTCCCGACCATACTAAAGCTTTCTCATTTCAACTCCTCGTGTTTGTCCGTCTTGAAGGCTAGCTAAAGCGTTGGTTAGCCATCTTGATTTGTATGTAAACTAACCGCTTCCGAAAGGAGTCAGGCTAGGAGTAAGTTTCATTCTATACTAATGTTCAGACCGNGAGGCTATTTGAGACGCTTGGTTGTATGGGAGTATTACGCGAGATGCAAGGGAAGAGTGACCAGCCGCAACCCTAGACACCCACTCCCGACCATACTGAGGCTTTCGGAGGCAAATCAGAATATAGGGAGAAAATAAGGGAGAAGCGGTCATCACTAATGCTGGAGTTAGCGGTGAGTAAAGAGAAATAGGACGAAGAAGAGTGTAGGGTAACGTCATCGGCAAAGGCGTAAATATAATATGAAATTGAAGAAATGAGGGTCATTAATGAACATCATAAAAAGCGAAGGGGAAACTACAGAACCTTGAGGAACACCAGCGTTCAAAGGCACGGAACGACAGATGGTCTCAACTACTGGAACGGAGATGCTACTGTCCAGGATACAAGTTCCGAGGGCAAGCCAAACTTGGGTAGTTTAACCAGCAGACCCGCGTGCCATATACAATTGAAAGCTTTCGATACATTCAGTGACAATTTATGGGTTTCTGCGTAGTCATCGAGCGTCGCTGACTATGTATGCGAAAGGAGCACCAGAAGATTACCAGTAGATCGATGGGATCGGAAACCGTACTGACGGTGGCTAAGCATCTTATTCTGCTCCAGGTGGCGGCGGAGTTGATCAGAACGACTAATTCTACAGCCTTCGAGATGACTGATGTGAGAGAAATGGGGCGGTAGTTGTTTGGGTCAGAGTGGTCGCCGCGTTTGGGGATGGGAAATATTTCTGATGTTTTCCATGAAGTTGAGAATACCTCGAAATCGAGGGATAGAGAGAGTAAGAGACATAAAAGAGAGGCCAGTTCTAGGAACTCACATTTTGAGAACGATACGAGGAATCCCGTCTGGTCCAGGTGGTTTATGTGGGTCGAGTGATAAGAGGATCTGACGTATCTTTCTGGTGGAAATAAGTGGTGTGAGAAGATGGTTAGTTGGTTTGAATGTGGAGGGTTGAATGGGTGATTTGATTAGGTTAGAGTTAGAAGCAAAATAAAAGGCAAGCACTTCGGCTTTTTCAAGCGGGTCGAGCACTAAGTCGCCAGATGGTTTAACAATAGGTGAAGAGTTAATGGAACCGAAGTTACGGGAGACTGCCTTAACAATTGACTAGAATGTCCGGCTTCCAGAAAGAATGTTTGCTTACTGTGCTATTTTACGCTCAACAAAATGCTCCTTAGCTTTCTGTATGATGGTCGTACATTTGTTGCTTGCTAACGAGAACCATCGGCGGGAACGGGGGGAAGGTGAACGAGGCCAGCGGTGGAACACTAATTTCGTTTTACGAACAACGCGACAACAGGCGTGGTTGAACCAGTCTAGACAAAGAGGCTTGCCGGGTATAGTAAAATGAGGAATGAGGTGCATGCCTTGCAAAAGAACTTGGGAAAATTTCGAAACCTAGATGGAGACATTGATGGTGAAGCAACAGTCATTCCAGGAGTAGGAAGCCAGAAAGTTACGAAAGCTGCACCAATCAGCGGAACCATATCGCCCGAATGTGCGTCTAAAATTGGCAAGAGCAATAGAGCGGATAATTTGGATAGAAAGCGAAATACGAATGGTCCGATGAGCCTAGCATTCTAAAATAATTGTGGGTTAGATGTGAGGACAAAATCGAGGTGATGAACGTGGTGGCCAGCACGACCGGGAAATCCGCCAGTTGGTGAAGGTCAAATGATTCTACTGCACATCCAATAGCCGATGTCCCTGAAGATTGTAACAGCCAATCCTTGTTATAGGCGTTACAATCACCCAAAATTGTGAACTAAGCGTTGGGGTCTGTTTCTACAATATTTGCTGGTAAAATATCGGAGTGAAGAGTCACTTAGTTGGAAACGGTATACAATGCAGAAGTAGTGATTGAAAGAATGGGACCGAAATTTCAGCCACAGAGTCTGGAACTCGCGGTTAGTGAAACTTAAGTGGGAGAACGGTGTGGAGGCAGTTGAATGATGGATAAAAACAAACACCAACTTGGAGCTTGACGGAGGTGTAAAGGCAATAATTGGGGAACTGAGGAGAAAGTTGTGTTTCGGATAAAAATAGAGCAAGAGGGGAAGTGCTCTGAAGAAATTGATGTACAGCATCGATATTGTGGTTCAAGCTGCGAATGTCAGTGAGTGCGATTGTCGAGGCAGAGTGCACTTAAGAAGTGATCCTGTTAGTTGTATTCATGGAGAATGATATACTATACAAAATTAGTGATTGAAAGAAGGAAGTCGGAGCTTCAGTCATCTCAGCTGAAATGCACAATTGGAACGGTCAAGATTTGGGATTCGGTAAGCGGCGACTGTTTGATGGATAAAGGGACCGGCACCAGCTTTGGGTAGTTTGGGACTTGAAAATGGATGGTGTCTGACCAGGGAGAGATTTGTGTTTCGGTCAAAAATAGGGTGAGTGTAGAAGAAAAAGAATAGAGAAATCGATTTACGGGATCAATGTTGTGGTTCAGTCCGGGAATGTTGATGGGGGGAGGGTGAGTGCGTGTTTACTTTGCGAGTAATTGATTAGTACCTACATGCTGCTCCCACCACCTCAAATAACGTGCAAATACGACAGTCTTTGAACACTTGTAATCCGTGGGTATCTTCAGCACGAACTGTTCCGGTTTCAGAGCCATCTAGTAGCATTTTAACTGCTGTGGCAGTGTATGGTGAACTTCTCGGAGTAAGATTATTATCACGCCTGCACCGCGAATACCTCAAACTGGAGAGAGCCGGATGAGCATTCTAAACTTTTCTAGGTATTTCGGTCATTCCTAAATGTGATATAATTCATAAATAAAATAAAATCAGAGATGATTTCCGGCTGTTCCCCAGCCAAGGTAAGAGGTTGTGCCAGTTTTGGGTGAGTACTTCGAATTTTGGAGGCGCAAAGCGCATCCCCTGTTCTTGCCATACTCCACTAGATGCACTTAAAACAGACAGACTTTCTCGAATCCGAATGAATCCTATCAGTTTCCCCAAAAAATCTACCAGGTTGCACAGGTT